AAATGGCTTTTCTGCTACCTTAATGTCGTAAAAAAATATGCGAATTACAATGAGTGAAATGCCAGTAACTTTTTCACTTATTAAAGGATATTTTTGCGCGATGATAAGTACAAAAATCCTTGCCTAGGTTCAATGCAGTATTTTATTTCTTCGCCGAACCAATCGGGTAATTTTTCTCGCAAATAAAAGCGTTCTCAATATCTAAAACCTTTCCACTAAAATACTGAAGTTAAAATACAATTTAATCAAACACTTGCAGCCGAAAAATGTAACGATTCAAAACAAACTTCAGCGAGACACTCCTCCGCACGACAAATAACAACAACCAATTTGAGAAAGAAGGTTGAAGGAACAAGATGGCCGACCTAAATTTCGAATAGGTCAGATCAAAAAAATTGCAGAGTTTTAAATGTGTAGATAAAATGTTCAAGGAAGCTTTGACATAGTATTTTTTATAAGTTTTGAACGTGTAGATAATATATTTCAGACATAGAAAAACTGTTTGATAAAATATTGTAATTAACTGCAATTGAAATATGTGCTTTTTCAACTTGAAAACAGTTGTTGAAAATAGAAATTTTTGCCCTATAAGAGGTGACGCATCTTGAAAGCTAAATTCTTTAACATTGATTTGCTAGACTTGAAATTCATTAGGAATGTCTAGCCGGCATTGACAAAGAATACAAGAGAATATTAAACACCAGCTATTCATTTCATTCAGTTCAAAAATTTGAAAACAATCATGCAAATTAGCAATTTTTACTCTATATGAGGTGACAGATTTTGACAGCTCAATTCTTTAATATTGATTTTGCAGAACTTAAAATTCAGTAAGAATGTTCAGCAGGCATTGACAAAAAATGCAAGAGAATATTAAATCAGCTATTCATTTCATTCAGTTCAAAAATTTGAAAACAATCATCCAAAATAGCAATTTTTGCGCTATATTAGGTGACAGATTTTGAAAACTAAATTCTTTAATGTTGATTTTGCAGAAATTTAAATTCAGTAGGAATGTTCAGCAGGCATGGAATTAAATACAAGAGAATATTAAACCAGCCATTCATTTCATTCAGTTCAAAAATTTGAAAACAATCATCCAAAATTGCAACTATTGTCCTATATAATATTTTTTCTTTCTGCTCCCTTTGCAACTTTCGATGTGGGATTTTTTTTCTGGATGAGCATGAATCTGTGAGGTAGGTCTTTAGCCCCCTGTTTCGCAAATTACTTACCTCCCAAGTGTGTATCTACAAAAAATCACTGCAATCTCGCAAGTCGTTTCAACAAAAACCGTGTCAAAATCTGTATATTCATCTCGCTCCTAAGCACATGTAAATACAGTCTCCCTATTAACTAAATTTTAAATAGTTCACTTCCAGTCTCGCGAGTGTTCGCGAAAATTTCCGACACTGTTCCCCATATACATTCCTAGTGGGATGTATATGCAACCCTTTCTAATAATTTTTTTATTTCCTACTTAATTAATTAATGCAATGTCCATATACATATTTATATAAGTTAGATATTCGTGTCGATTTGTTTGTATGTCTCATATGTCACCTTCTTCTGCCATCTCTTGAATACGTATCCGCGCTGCTTCGCAAGCTGCTCTGCTTGATCGAGCTTCAAACTTTGGTGCTGTAGAATTCCGCTTCTTTGAAACTTGGTCACAACTCAATTCCATGGGATATAAATGCTGTACTGGTCTTTCTAGTGTTCCGCTTTTTGTCGTCCGCCGCACCGCCCTCACAACACCGTCCTATCCAGGAAAGGTTTCCTTAATCACAGCTAAGAACCACGCTCCATGATTCTTATTATCGCTCAGCACTATCACCACGTCCCTAGTTTTGGGACAGAACTTTGTTTTTCCATGAATCATGCTATGTCTCTCTCTCAACGCCATCAAATATTTCCTTTTCCAGCGTTCCCATAGATTATCCCTACAGGCAAATAGGTACTTGGCACGTTTTCTAAGTTCATTACTTTTGATTCTCCATGTTTCTACGATAGGTAGATGATTCGATGGGTACAGAAATGTAGATGGAGTTACAGTTGGCAATTCTATGTTGTGTTCCATATACGATCAAGGGCGCTGATTTATTTGTATTTCAATATCTAACATCAGTTTAGCTAGCTCATACATTGCCAACTTTACCACTGCGATTAACCTTTCGAATTGCTCGCCCCAACTCGGGGTGCGCCAAAGATTGAACTTCCATGTTATCTCGTATTCCTCAACAAGCCCATGTATTCGCTCATCCTTACGTATTTGCTTCAGCCTGGTGCTCGCTTTCATGAATGTTCCACCATTATCAGAATATATTACACGTAGATGCCCACGCAGGGCGACCTACTTCTCCAGGCTTACGAGAAATGTGGGCGTCTCAAGGTTTTGCAAGAGTTCCAAATGTATGGCTCTTGTCAGACTGAACTAGTTTTTTGGTGAATATAGCATCACGTGGAAGGTAAATAGGAAAGGGAAGGGGAAGCAAGGGGTCTGACTCACTTATATTGATGTCTACAGTTGTGGATAAATCAGTTTATCCAGGGACATATCCGTAGAGTTCTCTTAAGGTCGTTCCACAAAAAGATGTCGTCAAATTCATCAGTTGTTGATTCTGATTTGGAGACACATAGGATTTCACAAATTACCTTTGCTTGAGCTTCCACCTCTGGCAAAGACTGTAACACAGGGTTATCTGGCCATTGAGCAGGATCTTGGAGCAACTCTGGTCCTGTCCACCACAACTCTGAAGATGAGACTGTTCTTCCATGGCTTGCGATGTCAGCAGGGTTGTCCGAACTAGATACATACCTCCGGGTGCGCTTAGATTTTGGCCACACGATTTTCTACAAATTGTTTATACATTTCATTTCCGCATACCCAATGCAATGCAACCATGCTTTTGATCCATGCATGAATAGAAGGCACAGGATTCTTTGGAAGGGCATTTCGCACGTTCACTGCCAGGTTTGTGGTCATGTGTGCACCAAACAACTCTAGCCTAGGCACAGTCAAACTTCACTTGGCTAGTCTGCTCTTAGCTGTCACCAGTCGTTGCATCGGCCCTAATGGTTGTCTGACAACGGCATATACCGCAGCCCCCACACCCTGGGTGGATGCGTCTTCAAATGTGCGCAATTCAAACTGTGTAACTTCTTCTTGGTGATTTACAATGAAGATAAGAAGTGAGTAAAAGTGGTGTGTGTTTAAAAGAGAATCATAAAGAATCAAATCTGCGTGAGAGTGTATTCGTAAAAGGTAAAATGGTAAAATTAAACTATGTGTCTTACCAAAGCTGTTGTTGACCTTGCATAAACCAACGCTGTGAGCCATCTCAGAGTTGATATGAAACCGAGTGTAAAAATTGCTTGGAATTGCTTAAGAGCAGAGCTTGTGTTCGAGCTTGTGTTCGTTCAAGAGGCTTGATCGAAAAGGGCTGAAATTACATGTGTGTGCATAAAATGTGTTAGTATGTTACGTCACTGAGGTCAGGTGTCAAAGTCTGTATTGGGGATAGTGGGGTTTACGTGTCAATTATGGTTGTGTGTGGACATCCGAGATTTAAGTGTGTTTTGGTCGTGGGTTGTACTTCTTGTAGTATGGTCGTTTTATCACCGTAGTCACGAATTAATACAAGTATGGTCGAAGTGTTTTGGACTTTTGACGAGGAATTACAAAATTTCAGTGCAATATCGTCATCTGTGGGTAGTAAACTACCCTGGGTCCTAAAAACTTCGGTGGGTCAATGTTCGGCGATGCATCAACCGTGAGGGTTTCAATCGTGATTAGGGTTATCAATTTGAGGTAGTCAAGGTTTTTAAGGTTTGTATGTATTTAGAAGTTTTATAATAAGCTTGTAAAACGTGCATGTAATTGTGAGTGCAAGGCTGCAGGCATATAGAAATCATTTGTTAGTTGGTGTTTGAATTATCAACGGTAATTCGAAGTCGATGTGGACGTTGTCATGCATTTAAATTACTGTATATATACAACATATGGATTGTACATTATATTACATAATGACTGTTGGACCTGACTATGTTTCCAGTGACCATGTCCAGTGGTTTGATTTGAAGTGTATTTGATTCGTGCGGTTGAACAATTAAGTTTTGTTCGTGTATCTGGTCACATTTATGGCCTAATTCTGCTAAGGACAAGTATTTTCTTATTATGTCAGCAGGATGCCCAGGATGCCAGATTTAGGTGACTGGTTAAGGTCATGGAGTTTTGTTGTTTTCACAGGAGAGTGCCACAAGGTTTGCTTGTCATGTGTTGGTTCTTGCATGTTCTCACTTGTAACCCAGTGTGTCACAGTAAGTTCTTTGGTTTGTTATATCCACTCTGGTGTTTTCAAGGTGGTATTCAGACACAATGTAAATTGGGAGTGGTTAAACCCAGCTAACACAATTACGTTGCGGCAACGTTGTTTGAACGTTTCGCAAACGTCCTGACAACGTTGGAGTTTTAAGTTGTGGTAACGTTTTTTTGTGGACTCCTAAAAACGTAGTGTCAACGTTGCGAATAACGTTGCGTTATACGTTTCAACAACGTCGCGTCGACGTCCCGGGAAGAACGTGCAAATAACGTGCGAAGACTAACGTTAGGAATTCACGTTCCTACAACGTTGTGATTGGGGCTTTTTATAACGTTGTATCAACGACGTTGTGCGGCAACGTTGAATCTGCAACGAGCAGAAAACGTTAGAAGTTTAACGTTTGTGAGAAGGTTATTCTGAAGACTACAAAAACGCAATATAAACGTTAGGAAGTACTAATTCCTCTTGTGTATGTCGTATTAATTCAAAATATAAGAAGATCGCGTCTTTCCTAATCGTTTTTTATTAATTTTTCCCAATAATTATTGTAGCAAATATTAAGTAAATATAATAAATATTAGCAAATAATTTTGTATCTAAAATAAATACCTAAATATACATATTAGTAAGTAAATTTATATCTAAAATATGAAATAATTTTATATCTAAAACGCCAGATCACAAGAGTGGAAATCGAGAGATCCCTAAACGGTCGCTTGGCTTTCCTTCCTTTCAAGCTTTACGCCAAAGTTTGTTTGTTCCAATCTTTGTTAGAATGCGCCGTACGCTTACAGCACACGTATGCCCGCATACGGCAACCAAGAAATTAAACTACAAAAGAAATATGAAAATATTAAAAAAAAATTCAAAACATTGTTTTAACGTCAAGTGTTGAAGACTGCGGGTCTAATGTGATATTATAAATAATCAATATTTTGGGTATAGCAATCCATTTTAACCTGGCCTTGGTACTAGCCATATCATCTGCATTTGCTTGCTATATTTCTTTGTTTTTATTGCTTTTGTTTTAAATCACAATTCCAGTGTGCCAAACATGCATAGTTTTGCCCTGCCACAGTCTGTTCATTCTATTAAACTGCCCAGTTTATACAAGTATCAGGGTTTATGTGAGATTGTAATTGTGAACATTTCGAACAAATATTTTTGGCCTGACTTCGAGAATAAGCAATAGTTAAAAGTGACCCATTTTTTTAGAAAATTTTTGTATGTGAAAGACTTTCGGTGGCCATCTTCGAAAAACAACACCCTTTGCTTTTCAGGTAATAGCCTAAGGCCTTAATTATTCCCAAATACATGTATGTTAATACTTCAATACATATCTATATTTTTTATAATAAGCTATAAAAGCAACTGCTAGTTTATATTTTTCTTTTAAGAAATAAACCAAGCTGATTAAGACTTGTTTAGCACAAACCAACAAAGAAATTGTTTGAGCAGACATATTATTTCCTTTGATGACTCAGGTAGCTAGGCGATCATCAATGGACTTTAGACTGCATGCCATTATAAAAGTGACATGATAGAGCGATTATCGTAGTACATAATATCAATACCATTCTAAATAACAACTTTTATATCTATACTTACAACAAAGTCGCTGTATTGATCTGAAGTAGGTATAGGTATCGAGCGCGGCAGACCAACAGGCAACAGACACAGAGTGTAGTCAATAGACGCTGTAAATAATGAAGAATAATACTATAAACAAACGCTGCCACAGCCCTGATTACACAATTAAACGAAACATATACGCAGTATTTATACTTACATTAAACGCGTTGATGTTTGCAAATGATGTGGATAAACGAAAATATCGACGCACAAATAAAACACAAAGCCAGAAATTTCCACACCAGATTAGGGATAGTTCGGGCGAAGTGAACCACGAAATAAACATAATATGCTCCGACACAGCATTAGCTCAACCAATCAGCACGCAGCGTTTCCGATAAACTCGTTCTGATTGGTCATCGTCATTGGTGCGGAACCCGCGCTTAGGCGTAATGCCAAGCGCCCTTGTCAGAAACCTTCCTTTGTAGCGCTCCAGCCAGAATTACTTCGGAATTCAGTTGAAAGCAATAATTAAAATGGGGCATGTTCAGTTTGTTCGAATGTCACTAGACCACGCTGTAACGTCGCTGTAACGTCGCTATAACCTTGAAATATAACGTTGCCTGGAGGCTAGGCTCTTACGTTCAAAATAACGTCGAACAGACCTTGTTAAATCATTTCACGTCGCACAATTAAATAATTGGCATCAGTCGGGCATTCAAAAAACAAAAATTAAACAATGTGTTATATGATCCTATATACTAAACACAGCGTTCGCGTACGTCTGTCTGATTATACTCGATCATGCCGATCGATACATTTAAGACGAATTTTATTTTAATATAGCAGTTGAGTTAGGCGATATGATGTACGTATCTAAACGTGCGTTGCTTTATGTAGAGTTAGGCAAACGTTTTTGGGATGTTTCTGCGCCACGTTCATTTTGTTGGAGGCGAATGTTGTTTCAACGTTATAAAGTAACGTTGCTAAGATGTGGTTAGAATGTTAGCCTGTAACGTTGTCTATGCGTAAAATATAACGTTGCGCAAACGTTGTTAGAATGTTTCTGCACCACGTTCATTTCGCTAGTGGGGAACGTACTTTTAAAGTAATAACGTAACGTTGGGCAGACGTTTTCAGAAGGTAATGCCGTAGCGTTAAACCAAAGTTAATCTATAACGTTGCCTAGACGTGGTATAAATGTCCGTTTAGTACCTCATAATAAAAGGTTGCGTTAACGTTAAAACATAACGTCGTACCAACGTCAGTTGAATGTCGTAATGCACACTGCTAACTGCAACGTTGGTACAACGTTTGCTCCACGAACATATTTTCTACTGAAAATTAAAAACGTTGTATGTACGTCGTAGTAAAGTAAAGTCCGACCTAACGTTGCCACAACCTTCGACCAACGTTGTGTTTACGTTGTGTGTTAGCTGGGAAATTTATTATCTCTGTGTTCAGGGTGGTGTGGAGGTTTTTGGCTGGTTTTGGTTAAGTTTGGGGTTGATGGAAGACTTGGGTGATTTGGGTTATGGGATGTTGTTATGTTTGGTTAGTGTTGTTTCTGGTATTAAGTTTGGCTGTGATAAGCGTGTCTCTCAGGTTAGTATTGCATTGGTAGGCTACAATTGGAGCTTCTTGCCATAGACTCCTCAGTGTGGGGTCATTCTCCAATAGTTTCCAGTGTTTACGTAGGATGTTTGTAATGTATTTTGTGTTTTGTGTTGTATGGAATTGAGAAAATTGGGCGGCTTGTGTTCTTTTGGTTTTGTTTCCTATTGAGTAGGTCTGTTTGAGTGTACTGTAGGGCTTTGTTGAAGTTAGCGGTGATGGTGTCATGGTGATATCCGCAATGGATCAGTGCAATCAGGAGGTGGTTTAGTCGTTGTTTTAATTTGTTGTTGTCTGTAATAATGCGTCTGTATCGTAGTGCCTGACTTTAGATGACTGTATTCTTGCATGTGGTGGGGTGAAATGAGCTTTTGTGTAGTAGGAGGGTTTTGTCAGTTGGTTTAATGTACAGGTCTGATTCCAGTTTGTTGTTTTTGTTTTTGTAGATAGTTGTGTCAAGGAAGTTGACAGATTTCAGAGAAGGAAAAGTCAAATTTGATGGTAGGATGGAAATTGTTTTATGTATTAAGAAATTTTTACAGTTTGTCAGTGCTACGTGTCCAAATGCAAATATGTCATCTATAAATCTTATCCATTCAAGGTATATGATTTTCAGGAGCTTGTTGGAGGACCTCCTGCTCCAGTGCTGCCATGAATATGTTTGCATAGGTAGGTGCCATTGCTGATCCCATAGCAGTGCTGTGAATTTGTAAAAATCGTTCGTTGTTAAAAGCAAAGGCGTTCTTCTTAAGTACAAGGGATGGGATGTCATGAACTAGTTTCTACATTTCAGTGGTAATTGTGTTGATTTCTTTCAACATATCTATACAGGCTTGGATGCCTTGATCATTAGGTATGTTGGTACAGAGACTTCTGACGTCAATAGTAATAAGTATGAACTTGTCTGGTAGTGTTTTATTCTGAGCAAATATCCAGCATAGAAAGTCTGTAGTGTCCTGGACATATGATGGTAGTGTTGTAGAAGTGGTTTGAGTAGATGGTCAGCATAAGAAAGCTTGACTGCTGGTCCACCACAAGCGGAGATAATAGGTCGACCTGGGATGTTAGGTTTGTGTATTTTGGGTAAAAGGTATAGTTGTGATGTCCTGGCTTGAGTGTCAGTTGTGAGATATTTAAATGTTGTTTTGTCAATGGCCTTAAATTTGTGAAGTTTGTGTGCTAGGGTTTTGTTTCAGTTAAAATTTCAGGGGGTTTCTAATTATAAAGTTGTCTATAGGCCTCAGTAAGATAATCACAATGGCTCCTCTTTTGTCTGCTGGTTTGATTATTATATCTTCATCCTTTTTCATATCATGCATGGTTTTGAGGCTTTGTGAAGATATATTGGTTTTTGTAGTTTTTTTTCAGGGCAAAATTTTAATTATTTCACCTCCAGACTTGTTACTTGTAAAATCATTCAGACAGACATAAGGAAGCTTTACTGCTGCTTTAAGACCTGTAGCTTTTAATGCAGTGCCAAACTGGAAGAAATTATGCCTGTCAATATACAATTAATTACCATATACAATGGGTCAGTTTTTACAGGGCAAAATTTCAACTACTTCATCTAAACACTTGTTTCTTGGTAAAATCATTCAGATGGAGATAAGGAAGCTTTCAGACTTGCAGCTTTAAAGCAGTGGAAAAATAGAAAAAATTATGCCTGTCAATATACATGTAATTACCATAAACAATGGGTCAGTTTTTACAGGGCAAAATTTTAACTATTTCATCTCCAGACTTGTTACTTAATAAAATCATTCAGACAGACATAAAGATAGCTTTACTAATGCTTTAAGACCTGTAGCTTTTAAAGCAGTGCCAAACTGGAAGAAATTACTGTCAATATACGATTAATTACCATACAATGGGTCAGTTTTTACGGGGCAAAATTTTAACTACTTCATCTCCAGATTTGTTACTTGGCAAAATCATTCATGCAAAACTTTCAGACTTGCAGCTTTTAAAGCAGTGCAAAAATGGGAAAAATTATGCCTGTCAATATGTGTAATTACCATATACACTAAGTCAGTTTTGACAGGGCAAATTTTTATATACTTGATCTAGACTTGTTACTTGGTAAAATCATTTCGACAGAGAGAAGTAAGCTTTACTGATGCTTTCAGACTTGCAGTTCTTAAAGCAATGCCATAGTGGAAGAAATTACGCCTGTCAATGTATGGTTGATTACCATATACAATGGGTCAGTTTTGAAAGGGCAGAATTTGAAATACTTAATCCAAAATGGAAGAAATTATGCCTGTCAATGTATGCGGGGTTAAATTACCATGTACAACGGGTCAGTTTGAAACGGCCAAATTTGAAATACTTGTTCTCCAGACTTGTTACCTGGCAAATCATTCAGACCGACATAGGAAAGCTTCATTGATGCTTTCAGACTTGCAGTTTTTAAAGCAATGCCAAAATGGAAGAAATTATGCCTCTCAATATACGGTTAATTACCATATACAATTGGTCAGTTTTGAAAGGGCAAAATTTGAAATACTTGTTCTACAGAATTGTTACTTGACAAAATAATTCAGACAGACATACGAAAGCTTGACTGATGCTTACTGATGCTTTAATTTTGAAAGAAAACGAAGTGGAGTTTTAGAACGCGCTGCTGTCAAAGGTGCACCATTGGAATTCATTGTATGGCCGAGATTTTAGAACAAAAACTTTAGACAGACAATTTTGTATTAGTCTTTTTATGCTATATAGTACGTTTGAAGAGCACATTTTTACATCCTCTGGTAGCTTTTTCCCATGTCTTTCTTTTCGTTACAGTTATTAAGTAATCCTTGTTAACATTATTTGACAGTAGGACGGTAATAAAATTTTGAAACCGCGCCGATCTTGGATTATGCGTCCTCCTTCGGCAAATTTCGGCCGTTTTTAGGCACATCCTGAAATATTTTGCACAAATGTGGAAGGGCATCGCATTCGATTAGCCGTATAAATTGTGTCGAACTTCTAGAAACATCTGTTTCAATTTTGATATTTTGAAAACAATGATATATCAAATTATCCTACTTTGACATATTTTTGTTCGTTTTATTATATGCCTTAAATCGAACCAGTAACACCAATATTTAGTACAAATCTGTCCAAATGTTAGGCGTACAAAACCGCTATGATCTCACTGTTTGAACAATCGCTCTATACGTAAAAAATGTTGACTTTAATTTCATGCATTTCAGGGCTAATTGGTGCAAAACAAGACTTTTACTCTATCTCTCTGCCAGGGATAAAATTTTAACTACTTCATCTCCAGACTTGTTACTTGGTAAAATCATTCATACAGACATAAGGAAGTTTTACTGATGCTTTAAGACCTGTAGCTTTTAAAGCAGTGCAAACTGGAAGAAATTATGCCTGTCAATGTACGATTAATTACCATATACAATGGATCAGTTTTTAAGCTACAGTTCAAAATTTTAACTATTTATCTCCAGACTTGTTACTTAATAAAATTATTCAGACAGACATAAGGAAGGTTTACTGATGCTGTAAGAACTGTAGCTTTTAAAGCAGTGCCAAACTGGAAGAAATTACCTGTCAATATACGATTAATTACCATATACAATGGGTCAGTTTTTACAGGGCAAATTTCAACTACTTCATCTAAAGACTTGTTTCTTGGTAAAGTCATTCAGATGGAGATAAGGAAGCTTTACTGATGCTTTCAGACTTGCAGTTTTAAAGCAGTGCAAAAATAGAAAAAATTATGCCTGTCAATATACGTGTAATTACCATAGACACTAGGTCAGGTTGACAAGGCAAATTTTTATATACTTGATCTCTAGACTTGTTGGTAAAATCATTAAAACAGATATAAGGAAGCTTTACTAATGCTCTCAGACTTGCAGCTTTTAAATCAGTGCCAAAATGGACGAAATTATGCCTGTCAATATATGGTTAATTACCATACACATTGAGTGAGTTTTGAAAAGAGCAAAATTTGCAATACTTGATATCCAGACTTGTTACTTAGTTAAAATCATTTAGACAGAGATAAGAAAGCTTTACTGATGCTTCAGACTTGCAGTTTTTAAAGCAATGCCAAAATGGAAGAAATTATTACCATATACAACGGGTCAGTTTTGAAACAGCAAAATTTGAAATGATATAATTACAAAATTAGGATGCATATGCTGATATGCTTGATACAAGCAGCAACAGTACCAAAAATGCAAGCTAAACGATAGTTAGTATTCTGGTGATAACCCTCAAAACAATTTCCACATCTTACAATGCAACCTACAGCATAGTACATGTAGTGCAAACCTTTCAACCCCTTGACTGAATAATAGTTAATAATTTTCCAAACAGATCGACGAGGAAGATGTTGAAATGCAGAATGTTATATATGTTGCCAAGATATCCCTGTATATAGACTATGTGAACATCTTGCATCAAGTTCTAAAGAATTACAGTCTGCTGATAAGTGTGAAGTATGTAATATGGCAATTTACAGTAAATGATTCACTAATTGTAATGGATAAAATTATTTGATGTGATGGTAGTGTATCTGTATTAAGCATTAATCAGCATAAATCTGTAATGTCTCTTTGAACTGTATGAGAAATAATTTATAACCGTAATGAAAACATTTTACCTTATCTGAATAGCTCATAACAGTGATGGTGAAAACAATGAGGAAGCTGGTGAAAAATTACCCAGCTGTTAATTTTTACAGTTTGATCAACTGACAGGTATAGTTTGCAAATTTTCTCACGAATTAAGCCAAAATGCAGGACCTTTAACGTGTGTGGAAGTAAAATCTTGCAAATTTTAGCTTCACAAAAAACAATGAGGAGATATCGTTCTGGTCGCATGATAGTCCATCCATAATCAATGGTGGTCCTGGTTTCCCCTGTTGCTATTCCTGTGTAGATATATTTCGTAACAGGACAGTAGAGAAGCTGTTGAATTTGCAATTGCTGATGACGTCCGATTCAAAGTGTGACAATACTAACAAGGTATTTTATTTACATGATCAAGTGTCACATGCGATTTTCTATATGTAAAATTTTAAAAGTTTAAATAATCTCAAGTATTTTGTTGCGTAGTCAGTATATTTAGATTTTTTCGCATTTGTAATAAAAAACTTATCTGGGAACTCAGAATAAGCCACTCAGAGAATTAATCTGTGGTCCGAAAGGGCATCATATCGCAATAACTCGCCTAAACAGAAATTGTCGCCCGTTTTCCACATCTTCTGTTAGAGTTCTATATTATAGTTGTCAGGTTGCGTACCCCAGGTGTTTAAAATGTTGGTATCCAAATTATTAGCTATTCATTTCAAAGATTACTAAATACTGTCTTGAACAATAATTGCATAAAACACGAATTAGATTCATGTAATCTCAACGTGATTTTAAGTTTTGATTAGTACAAAACGACCAGGACCAGGTTTGTCTACGAAATTAACGATCAGATGTTTTTGTGCAAAACGACAAGGCTGAGTGCCAAAATCACCACAGTATGAACGTATTATGATAGGAAAAGTCTATCTTTGTGATGTTCTGAACCACCATTCGTTTTTATGGCAGTATTTATGAACTAAATTGTATCTTCCATTGGCGTCAACATCGACCAAATTGAAAATTTTGATGTGTCACATACTTGAAATCTGATGGATATGGGACTATATCAAAATATTAATACCCAATGTCCACACATATTTCTCTTATATAGTTCTGTTGAGACTACAGGGATGTAATGCATGCCATTAGATTCCTTGTACACAGAAGAACCTTTTGTTATGCATGTCATAGCTATACAGTAAATATTGGCTTTTCCATACTTGAAATCTGATGTATAAGGACTATATCAAAATATTACCCAATGTCCACACATATTTTCCGTAATATTTTAGTTCTGTTGTGGCTACAGGGATGTAATGTAACCATTAGATTCCTTTACACAGAAAAATCTTTTGGTATTCACTTCATAGCTATACAGTTAATATTTGGCTTTTCATACTGAAATCTGATGTATATAGGACTTTATCAAAATATTACCCAAATCCACACATAATTAAATTGAATTTACTTACAATGATGCAGGACAAAAAGTTTGATCTCCCCTTGATAAAACCAGTAGATGTCCCCGATTTGGCGCACCTTGTCCTTTTGCAATCAACTTAAGTGTTAATGATTTCCAGCATTTTTTGTTTCGAGAAAAACATCGCAATACTCGCTTCATCTACAAAGAGTCCTGCCAAACTTACGGGGCGACGTAACGTTACCAGTATTAATAAACAGGTTGAAAAACGCGATCTACTGTCCTTGGCGAAACAAACAAATCGACAGCAACTCTGGTTGAAAAAATAATAAAATAATTTAAAAAAATTCTGCCACAAAATCCATCTTATATCGTTGAAACGGCTTAGGCATTTTACAACAAAAATCCCAACTAAACAATAACCTTGAAGCAATTTTGCAGCGTTAAAACGCGTAATTAGATATGACATGTGAAATATGTCACATCACAACTATTGTATAGTATATATTTTCGGACAACCTTTGTAGACCCACAAAATATATAAATAATATATAATAAAATAATATATATATAATGAAATAACAATTTTATTCTAAATAAAGTAGCTCATAATTCTATGAGCCCGCATTAATTGTAAAAAAAGACGGATTGACCTCCATTTTGTACAAATATTTAGAATTTTATTGGCAAGCTTAAGTTGAATAAAGCCTGATTTATTTGCTATAACAATTCTGGTTTCAACAATTCAACAATTTATTCATGTCCCCGAAATTGTGGTGTGGATAACTGTGGCAAAAGGGGGCATTATGCAAAAGTTTGTAAGTCAAAAACATCTACGGTTGCTTCAATATTTCACCTACACTTTGTTCAATGTTGCTTCCTGCCCAGCTTCTTGAAGCAAGCTCGGTAATCTCTGTTAGGGAAAAACATTGACTGCGCTCGTTGATTCTGGCAGTTCGGACAGCTATATAAGTAAAAGTATGGCCGAACACCTTGACCTTCATATCATTCCATCAACCCAAGATGCCCTATGGCCCTTTGTTCCCTTAAGTCACATGTTCTTGGTTACTGTTATGTAGATATTAATCTGAATAAACATGTGTATTCGTTGTTTGGGGATACTTAAGGATCTTTGTAGTGACATAATCCTTGGTCAGGATTTTCAGAAAGAGCATAGAAGTGTTGTTATAGAATACGGTGGTCCTAAGCCAGAGCTAGTGATTCCAAAGTCTACCCCTGTTGTGCTCTTTCTGCTCCATCGCCTGAAGAGCCATCTCTCTTGCAAATCTTCGCCCAGATTGCGAACCGATTGCAAGTAAGTCGATACGCTTTAGTAAGGAAGACCAAGATTTCATAGAACAGGAAATTAATCAACTTCTCTCAGCGGGATTATTGAAACCAGTAATTCACCTTGGAGAGCACCGGTGTTGTCAGTAAAGACCCGTTGAATAGACACAAGAAGCGGCTCTGCATAGATTACTCACAAACCGTTAATCAGTAACTGAGCTTGATGCCTACCCTCTACCAAAAATTGATGACATGATAAACAACCTAACTGGCTATAAAGTTTCTCAACTTTCGATCTTAAAAGTGCCTATCATCAGGTACCCATAAAGGAAGCTGATCAGAAATATACAGCATTCGAGGCTAATGGAAGACTCTATCACTTCAACGAATACCGTTGGGTGTTACAAATGGTGTAGCGGTTTTCCAAAGGGCAATGGATAAGTTAGTCGACGAGGAAGGACTTAAAGATACATTTCCATATTCGGAAAAAAACGGTAGCTGTCAATAAATGAAATCATACCCTCAATGAAATGAAATCTGTTGAATCCAAGTCATCAATCAATCTACTCGGATATGGTATCGGACATGGATTACTCCTGATCCAGAAAGGCTGCGTCCCCTTCAAGAGTTTCCACCACCTGAGAATGCGCGAACGCTACAGAGAGTAGTTGGGATGTTTGCCTATTATCCAAAATGGATACCGAACTTTTCTGACAAGATCAAACCTCTAATGCAGGCTACAATATTTCCATTAGATGCAAATGCTCTAGCTGCATTTAACATTCTCAAGAAAGAACTCGAGAATGCAGCTCTTCACAATATAGATGAGAGCCTTCCATTTGTGGTCGAGTGCGATGCATCAGAAATGGCACTTTCTGCTACATTAAATCAGGCTGGCCGACCAGTGGCATTTATGACGAGGATGCTCCATGGCAGTGAATTACATTATCCTGCTGTAGAGAGGGAGGCAATGGCAGTTCGTAAATGGCAGACTACTACATTCATTCAGATCTTGGTACTTCGTTCCATTCTCGAGAACTTAAGGACTATTTAACGAAACGGGGAATTGCAACAAGTAAAACAAGGCCGTACCATCCAATTGGCAATGGTCAAGTCGAGAAATACAATGGTATCATTTGGAAGGCTGTTCATCTTGCTCTAAGGTCAGCTAATCTCCCAGATTCAAGATGGGAATTTGTGCTAGCTGATGCCCTTCACTCAATTAGGTCGCTTCTCTGTACGTCAACAAATGCAACTCCCTATGAAAGGTTTTTCAACTTTCATTGTCGTTCATCGCATGGTGTTTCACTCCCTTCGTGGATGCAACGAGGACCTGTAATGCTACGTCGGTTTGTTCGAACGAGTAAGAACAACCCACTTGTGGATGAAGCGGAGTTAATGGATGTTAACCCTACCTACGCACGTATACGTTACACTGATGGCAGAGAATCATCCGTTTCTTTACGTGATCTACAATCACTGACAAAACCTTTCCGGACACTTACATATTTTCGTTCATTTTTTGGACAGCTCATTAAAAACAGTGGCTTCTCCCCCATCCCCCTCTTCAATGTTGGCTAAAGGCAAATTTGTTTCTGTAGAAAGCCT